AGGGCTTTCTTAGCAATAACTGGATACTTGTTCATTTGTCGACACCAAAACGTTGAGAGCGTTGTTGTTCTGAAGAGTTGCTGTTGAACCTGGCTCTGCTGAATTTCAATGATTTCGTCGAGGAATTCATCATTGACATCTGCTGTTTCAACAGCAAACGTGAACGGCTGTCTCACCCATGCTGGATATGACTCTCTTGTAGGGAAATATCCGTCGAGAGACTTTGCAAGCTCATCTAAGTGCGTGGCAATTGTTTGCTTCAGTTCCGTGGATACAGAAATATCTCCGATTCCAGACACATCTTCGATCTTACTTGCACAGTCGTCCAGAAGCGGGAAGTCGTTTCCATAACGGTAGCTTTTTTTGAAAAGCCTTCAGGTGTTCTTCCGCTTCCATGATATTGACTCCACCACCCTGCATCTGCTGATTGAGATGATTGAGAGCTGCGAATATATCAGCCATGTACGCTAAAATGAGAATGAACTCAGGATTTTTTGAAGCAATCTGCATGGCAGTGTTGGTGCTCTTGCAAAAACAGGGCTAATTCCACACGCATGGCAAAAACACGATTCAGCACCTGTCCCCGGGATAACCACCGAATATTAGAATGGAGCAGAAGTACCTCAAATTCAGAGCCCATTTCTTTACACAGCTCACTGAAGATGCGGTGCCTCAGAGCACTTTTTCGCACATAGTTCACTCATTCCACCACAGTTTTTAATACTTCTGCCATTTTTGGAGGTAAGGTTTTTGTTGCCAACGCATGCCTGTGCAGAATACAATGCGTCACAATGATGTGTGGTGCATCGGCCTTTACTAGCGCACCAAAACCAGACTTTCTTCCCAGCATGACTGGAGCTCCGTCCGTACAAACTGCAGAAACCATATCCCATGAAAGATTGTTGTCTCTGAAGAAGTCATCCACAAGCTTCTTCACATCGGCTGCCTTCGTTGTTGTTGTAAGAGGCTTACAAAATAAAAACTCTTCTTTTATCATGTCGTCTTTCACATAGCGTACAAAAACAGCAAGCTGGCTTAGATCAGAAACGTCTGTGGTTTCGTCGAGTTGAAGGATGAATTTTGCCGGGCTTGAAATCAGATCCGCGACTACTTGAGCCAAGATGTCTTTACTCATGTCTTCTATTCTGTCACTGACGGTGTCATTTGAAAGGGGAATTTGGGATAATTTACCTTCGGCCGCTGTTCCGAGTATCAGATTCGCCATCTTTAATGCAGCTGGTTTCACAAGTGTTTCACCAATGGTGTGTGGCTTGCCCTGCTTTGCGATCAGGTAAGCAACTTCGTACGATGCTGTCAGGATCGGTTTGTTAACAGGTACAAATCCAAGAGCAGGCAGAGTGGCCCTTTCATCGAATCTGGCTCTCTTCACCCTGAATTCAGCAAGTGTTGTGTTCTTGTATTCCCCGTCTCCATGCAGCTTCAAGAAGTGTTCCTTTAGTTTTGCCGGTGCAAGACTAGAGTTGTTCAACTTGGCGTTGCAAATCATGCAGATAGGACGCTCACTCCCATCACGTTCCGTGATACATGAGAATCCATGTTGTACATATTCGTCCGACCACTTTCTTCTTTTGCCCGACATAGTTAGTATGGATAAAATATTAAAGAAATCACACGACGTACGACAACAACAGTCACACGCTGACTACTGAGTATGCACTAAATTCCCCGCAGCGCTGATTGGCCAAGCAGTGTAGCATGATCATCTGCAGCCAGTGATGGCCAAGCGGGCCGTGTGTGCCATCACAAATTTACACAATAATTCAAGTGTGTCCGGACATCCGTGGCGGGGGCTCTGCCGAACCCCTGAGATCGACTCACCGAACCCCTGGGGTTCGATCGAACCCAGGTTAAGAACCGCTGACATAGAACAACAAAATTCAGGACCTATTTGATGATGGGAGCTATACCAAAATCATTAGAGATCCCACCAAGTGCCTGGTTACGAAAAGCAGCCATTGGGGTGCCATCAACTTGTTCGTAGAATGTTCCATTCCAGGTGAAGTAAGTGTTGGTGAGGCAGTGACTAACCAGGACTGGTACATCAGCATTCAGTCCTTGTTGGATCAACTCTTCAATGATTGCAATGGTGTCAGTAACAGGAACTTTGGTAAACAAAGATACTACATTGAAACTCATATTCTATGGTTCTTTCGGTAAAGTCAGGTAGATAGAAACAATAATAACAATAAAATAATAAAAATGAAAATAAAGTGAATAAAAAATAACAAAAATATCACGATTGAGCAATCATTGGAAGGATGTCATTAACCAGGTCAAGTCATAATTGTATGTGATGTTTAGTTGTTATTTTCGATTCTCTGGTGTTACATAAACAGGTTAAATATCTTTACATTAACAGGTTAAATATCCAACTGACACAGCCACTGTTGCTCGTTTACCTTGATGTGATGGTGGCTCTGCAATCTTACATTGACATGCTATCTCTCACAATGCAATGGCCATATCCGCAGCTTCGTCGTCATGGAGGTAGCTCAGCACTCCGATCTTACATTTACATGCAAATTTCTTCACTAGCCCCGCCCACTTTGCTTATACACAATATAATGGCCAGTTCTGCAGCTCCGTCGTCATGGAGATATCTCAGCTCTCCAATCTTAAATTTACATGCAAATTTCTTCACTAGCCCCGCCCACTTCGCTTGTGACCCTTCGGCAACACCCATCTCAAACCTTTATAACATGCTGCCTCAGCAGCTCTCTCGCTGTTTTTTCACCTGATGACGATTGCTGGTGTTGTGATCGAAACGTCGTGATATTTTTTTTATTTTTTTCTATCTACATGGCTTCAGCGAAAGACCCAAAGAAGATCTAATTTGTCTTGGCCAGTAGTAACTATTTTTGCACAGAACTTGGTGAAACCGCCTTGGAGACCCATCAGAAATGCCACCATTTTGAAGTCTCTGATGACCTCCCAGCCGTACTCATCATACTTCAAGGCGTCTAGCAAGGTCTTGATGCTGTTGTAATCCTCTTTGAGGTGCACCGAGTGAGCCAAGGGAAGAGACGGGTACTTGTTACCATTATGGAGCAGCAGCACGGCTTTGGGGCTCCTGGATGAGCTGTCAATGAAGAGGCGCCACTTATTCTGGTTACAGGCGATTCCGATTGCCTCGAACAGACTGGTCACATTGTGGCAGAAGCTGAGCCCATCGTGACGGGTGAAAAAGCTGCAAAAAGGTTGGTGACGCAAGTGTAGTGACGTAAATGGTGTCACTAGGGTGTTCGCACTAGCTACTGTTACAGGAGTGCAATTGTGCATCTGGACCCTCTCTCTCGCACCAGAGTAAGTACGGCATGTCAGCCAGCCCTAGGGGGCATAGTCCTGGTGATGGCCTGAGAGAGGGCAATGGAGGACGTGGTCGCCTGAGTGGGGCACCTGATGCTCGTTCGAGAACCTTCGGGAAAGGTCTCGAGTGGGGCGTGGCCGATGGCAGAGCAAGGCCACGCTCAGGAGCATAAAGGGGCAGTCCCGAGAGTGTTCTTGGCTCGTCTGTGGAATCAAGCCTGGGTCCCGCGTCTCATCGTCTCTGGGTCTTCGTCTAGAGCTAACTCGCTACTCACATAGTTAGCCACATCACCTACTATTGAACCCGAGTTCCGTTCAGTGTTACCCACTAGGGAAGTTGTTAATTAAAAGTGTTGTCTCCCAGTCCAGAGTGTGTGCCTCCGAATTGAACACTACACAAGCATCTGGCAGACGCATTTTGCTATGTCCGCGGCTAATTTATCAAGACAAGAGTGAAAACGTACTCTGTGAGGCCGATAAGGCATATTTCCTGATGCTTGTCGGGGATCAAGACAAAAACCCTGGGCACCTAATTTTACCTGCGAGCAATGCAAAAAAAACCTCTGGAAGGTAAGATGGACAATTGTTGCTCGGAATTTGATGTAAAAACAATTGTTTAACATTATTAAAACTGTAAAAGTTTTAAATTTAAAATTTTGTTACAATTTAAAATGTTATTGAAAAAAATAGATTCGTGGAGATCAACGTGAAGTGCCTTTTGGAAAACCGAACTTTGTAATATAAAGCAACGCGGCAGTGTAAATGGAAACGCAAAATCGTGCCATCAGCGTCTAATGCAGGTCCTTCTTATCATGCTGTAATTATGATGATGACGTTGGTGATGAAACGATGACGCAGTTGAGCTATGGGATTTTAAAGTAGTTTAAGCAACAAAAATAATATAGAGCAATGAAGGATAAAAGTTATTGAAGGAAAAACAACTACGTCCCATGAAAAGTCGCAAATATTGCACAATCATAATTAATGGTTCATAAATTCCCTGTAGCCTGAATCGATTCGATTATTTTAGACTGATTGTGGTATAATTACAAATAACATGAACATTAAACAAATATAAGTGGCTATTGCACTCATCTCGGCATCGAATTGCGATACAGATGGGAGGGAAACCACGGACATTTGTGAAGCGTTCGAATTCCAGGCGTTTGGGGCATTCGCAGATGAGTGTGAACCACGTGTGCCATGTGAAACTGGCCAAACATCTCGGCGCAGGATAATGGGAGAGATTCTTGAGACTCGGTGACACTCTGCAGGATGAGTGGCGCTGTGGTGATCGGAACCGTTAACGCGAGATCTGCGTCTGTGCGCGGCAGTGAGAGAGGCGAGCTGCTGGCATATCACGTGGCGAGGTGAGAGTTCAGGCGAATCGACGCTGAATAACAAAACTCCCATAGTGAACATCACAGAGACAGACACACTCAGCCACCTTCCTTCTCGTCATCATCATCAATTATCATCGTCACAGCTTCCATTACCCCGCACGGGCGGGGAATTCGTCTGAATGAGCTGACGCACGAAATTGGTCAGATTCACACGCGGAGACTCGATGGGTCAAGTGACATCAATACAACGTGTCGATATAATGATTGTCAACAGCACAGGTGGAAACAATTATGGGTGACGTCATCAGCACACGTGAAGTCGTAATTGGTGACGTCACCAGCATAGGTGAGGATTTAAACCATGCGGGAGGCAGTTTCAGTGAGTGCTGCTCGTTTTTCTGTTTTTCCACATAGAGGTGAGTTGCGTCTACTCTTGGAGTCTCGAGTGCGGTGGCGACATCCGTGGCTTCCTCGCTGTGAATCTTCTCTGCGTTGCTTGTCTCGATCATTGGGGTGAAATTGAGGCATCTACTTTAAATTGTCTCTTGGTTTGTGAAGCCACTTCATCTCGCAGATCTTGACTTCCTCTGACCACAATAGCAGTGTTGTGTAGGGTCACAGCACAGTTGGGCCGCGTGGATTGTACAAGCATATGTGTCTGAGCTCTGAAGTGTATTGTCGCGGTTTGCGTGCTGCGATTTGTGAACCTGGTGACCAGAGTTGCATTCCCAATTGGTCATCACCTGCTGAGGATAGTCTTAACCAGTCCCGGGCCTTCCCTACATCGGCTTCACAAATGAGGACGTAGTGTAGTAACATCACTGCTTGGGATAAAAAGGCATCTGGGCGTAGGTCTTTGCTAACATTGATTTATATTATTTTTTCAATGCTCATTTAAGGTTGTGAAATCATTTCACCTCCCTACAGTGCTCGACTGCACAACATACTTGCCAATTGTGAGGCTCGTACATGCACTTGTTCTTTAGCGAATCGATTATTGCAATGCCTTGCTGGTAGGTGTTTCAAATAAGGTTCTTGCTAGATTACATTGTTCAGAATGTGGCAGTTGGGTTGCTCACCCTAACCCCATTGTGACCATAATTCTCTGGTTCTCATCATACTGGTTTCCTGTCCTGAAGCGGCGTTTTTTGAAGAGCCTCATATTAGTTAAGGCCTTGCAATGGCTGGTACCACATTCATGAGGTTGATTCATCCCTGCACCCCTTGCAATCCCCCACCCTTTGTGAGTACTTCGATCCCAGCTGCCTTCCTGGGGTGAGCGGCCATTTGCTGTGCCACGGCTGGAATGCCTTTCCTTTGTAAATTCGTTTACCCCCCCCCCCCCCCCCCCCCCTGCAACTACGACCTAATTTGTTCCCGGTCCACGTAGAAAGGTTGAGCTGTTGTAAGTCGAACTCTTAATTTCCCATTGGCAAAACGTTAGACATTGGGGGTCCGTTCCCGGAAAACACATTACAATTGTTTTAAATACCAAAATTGAGCGACAATTGCCCTTACAACATTTTTACGTGACATAACCTTTAACAAAATGTGAGCATCCAAACTTCCAGATGGAAATCGTTAAATGTTTTGTGCATCACGTTTCCTCGTCTCAGACGTAGCAGCAAATTTACAAAGGTGAAGAGCGTTGAGAGTGCCGCAGTGTTCTCTGCGCAGCTGCACACTTGGGCTGAATTGTACATACGTCATAAGAGCAAAACGCCGTCATCTGGTGACGTCTGCAAATCATGCACGCGTCGCCTAATGGCAGTTTGGTTGTTACGGAGGGTGTTCATTATTATAAGGAAAGTCTTATGCGGGGGGGGGGGGGGGGGGGGTGGGGTGTTGCAAGTCGAGCTAGCCTTTAAGTCTGGGCACCCAAAAAGGCTATGGGCGAGCTTTATCTTTATGTAATGTACACGTGTTAGGTGAAGGAATTTCGTGATGCCTTCGTCTGCCGCTGCCGTGGAGGATCTGAGCGCTGTGATGGACATCTTCGTGCGCGAGTTCTGCGCCAACTGTGAAGGAGGCGTGGGGAGCGTCTGCATGAGGAAGCACGCGCTGCAGAATCTGCTCGTGAAGCACATGCGGCCCTACCTGGCGGTGGGTTTCCTGCGGGCCCTGCACGGCAGCAGCACCGCGCACGCGTTTCTCGAGCAATGTGGTGCCATGACGTGACTCCTTGTGCACCGGGAGCCGCTGCAGTTCGAGGCAGTGCCATGTGCTGTGGCACTGGGTTTGTCAAGAACGACTGAGCGCGTATCGTCACTGTTAGAGGTTGATTGAGACTGGGCTCGTAATGGCCACTATAGCATGTTGATTCCTATTTATGTTGATGCAACACTGAGCAGAGTAATTGGTGCATTGACTGTAGCAGAAAGTGTTCTTGTATCACGAATGCAGGGTGCGTGTGACCCGGATGAAGTGCGCAAGATCATGGCGGATCTTCACAAGAACAAAGGCGCCAGCGTGGACTTCCAAGCGTTCATGGTCACGTGGACGAGGATCCTCGTGGCCGGCCATGCCCCGTTCCAGGAGCGCGTGTTCCTCACCAGGGGGCCCTTTGGCCCGCCCATTTCTGCTGATAAGCCAAAATAAATTTCTATAAAATGAGATGACTAATAAAATTGCTTGCAAACTGTCCTGGGCTTGGTGAATTTTGTGTTTCTAGTTCAACCGGCAAGCAGTGGATGATGCGGTTCCCTTCTCGTGATGCAGATTTGGTTTCGTGCAATAGCGGTGGTCTTAATGGAGAAGCCCCTCCCTTAGGTTGCCTTTGCCCAAAAGGAGCCACGAGCGCCCCACTGACCTCGGATGTCAGGAGGATCGGGCTTTTGTACTGATAAAAAAAACAGATCTGATGGTGGCACGTGATACCCAGTTATTAGCCCCCGAAAGAATGTGTAACATCCCTAAATGTTTTCTGTAGAAACAGGGGTGACACTCCCTTCACCCTCGTGTCTAGGCAGATCTTGGAAAGAAAATCGTTATGTTCCAGCGGCCACCCTCGCACTTCATCAGTGGGATTGAATATTTCCACCAGCGTGGCCGTTGACTAGAAATTGAGTTCCTGGAGTGACGCATAACTACAAACTAAGCTTGTCCCAAGTCCTTGCGAACTATGAGAAGGCATTTGACTCTGGAAATTTGAGCTTAAGCTTCTGAGATGCTAAGGGACTACAGGGAGAATATGCAGAACTCCATTGATATGGGGGGGGGGGGGGGGGAATTGCACTTAAACCAACGTTTCTCAAGGGTCTTCGTGGAAGTGTAAAGATGTGGACAAACTTGGAGCCTTGTCTTTATTACACAGCTAGGCCCGACTTGCTTGACTCTTGAAGCCTCTTCCCCCAGAATGTTTTTGCTCTTTGGAGCCCATTCTCACGTCGATCGTCTCAACGGTGCGCAACTTTCACCTCAAAGCTCAACCTTTGCTTCCTGTCTTTTCAGTTTGAATCCCTTCAGACCTTGCCTCCTGATCAATCGCCTATGAAGGCCTCTGCATCAATAAGAGGCCTTGCAGTACTTCCTGGTTGTGTATTTGGCTGCACGTTTGTTTTGGATGTGGTCTAGAATTAAGGTAATTGCAGCAAAGTTGTGGGCAGATGGTGGTGACCATCTTATTTGCTGGTGCCTTAGTCCAACGTCCGATGCGAAGTAATGTGAAAATTCAATTTTTATCAGCATTGAGAAACATGCTCCTTCGAGTATTTGGCCGATGTTAATTTCTGCATGCCACTGAGCTATCGTTTGTGGCCAGGTCCCTTAGGAAAAATATCCGTATCGTTCACCAGGTAAAACCCAGAGCTAAACAATAGTTTAAGCGGTCAGCTCGACGTGGAGTGACTTTTGGAAAACCAAACTTGGTAACAAAGCATTGTGGCAGTGTAATTGAGTCCCGCAGGAAAATTGTGCCCAGTGACCAATGTACACAGGCTGCTTATTGCACTAATGCTGGTGATGAGGCCTAAGATTTGGGTTGGTCGATGTACATCTAGTGTGTGAATTGGCATGGGGTTCCCAGTCTGACCTCGGGAAGGCTTCAAAATGTTTTTCAAGGTGGAACATGGAGAGGCGGTGATGTTCCCCACAGCTCTGCCAGCTCCCCTGCTCAAAGTGCAGCTACACAGTGCCAATCTCAGTGTGGTGTCTGAGGGGTGAGTGCATGATCTGTATTCCTATTGCAGGAACATGACGTGATAACTGAAACGGTCTGGCTTTTTTTGTTCCTCATCCCATTCACCACCACTGACTAACCAGTAGTGAAGTATGATAAATCAACACTGCACAAAAATACCCTTTTAAAAATAATGTGTATTTTGTTTAACCAGATGAGATGAAAACTCAAGATGCCAGGATGGTCTAATGTGCAAGTGACTTGCGTCAACAAAATGACCAAGTACAGAAAGAAGCAAATCGCAATCGACCCAAAAGCAACTTACGAAATCCAAAAAAATGTACTAAAATCAATATTTAATGAGTTATGTTGACAAAGTTGAATCGGGTATTATGAATTTAAACTTCAATAATTTAAAATTAAGTTACATCGATGCAAAAATGAGGTGGCTATTGCTCTATCTGTAAAACAAGTGAGGATATTAGTCAATTACAGGTGAAGTAATTGTAGAGAATGTACATCGATATCGATGGGAGGGGAATTGTGGATGTTTGTGAAGCGATGGAATGCCAGGCTTTTGAGATATTCATAGATGAGTGGGAACCATGCGAAACGGGCCAAACATCCTGCCGCAGGACCCTCCTGGGAGAGTCGTGAAACTGGATGATTGCAGGATGATTGGCACTGGTAATCGGAGTCGTTAACGTGAGAGCTCCATCTGTGCGTGATAGTGAGAGGCGAGAGTTGATGCGAATCTACGTTGAGTAAAGAAACTGTCATTGGATTTGTGATCCAGTTCCCCGGCAAAATAGCGGAGAGTGGCCCCTTAAAGACAATAGTCCACATCGGAGAAAAACAATCTCGGCTACCCTTATCGTCATAGTTGCATGTTTGGATCGGGGTCAATCAGCACTTCTCTCCAAAAGCACTCGAAGCAGTGGACCCCACCCGACCTCTCAGCACGCAGTTACTCGGCATAGTCAGCCATAAACGAAGAACCACCGATTCTTGCAAGACATTTTCCAAAAATATTGTATTAACAAAACGATTCAGGTACAAGCAGAGATGTGAAAGGAGTTTGGCACCAGCCCAAAAACATTACAGATTACAGTACAATGGAAACCTGTCTAAACTGCACGTTTAATTTGTTTTACATCTGATTGGGAACGTAGATAACTTGACTGCCTCGTCAGCCGCCTCAATGTCAGTTAAATGCAAAGATAACCTGATTGCCAAGTTCAACCTCCTGTTCAAGAAGAATCCAGATCCACACGTGAAAAAGTTATACGGTGACAAGATTGTTATCAATCAGAAACAGATACATTTCCGACAGCCTAAAATCGGTTCTAGCTAAAGGGTTGAATTTTGCAGTCACCCCGTTGTGACCCTTGGGCTACACCCATCTCAAACCTTTATAACATCCTGCCTCAGCAGCTCTCTCGCTATATTTTCACCTGATAATGTTTGCTTGTGTTGCGATCGAAACGTCGTGATATTTTTTTTCAATCTACGTGCCGTTAACCGAAGACCCAAAGAATATGCATTCCTGCAGTCCCGAAAGCTTAAAGTCAAGATTTAACCGCCTCTACGTGGAGGGTTTCCACTCAACTATTAGATCTTTTAACAAACTTCGAGACAAGAAGGCTCATCTGATCGAGTCGCTCACTTTTCTGAAGAGATGCCACGACACTAAATCATAACTGGTTGTGATGTTTAGTAGTTATTTTCGACTCTCCGGCATTACATTAACAGGATGAATGTTTTTACATTAACAGGTAAAATATCTCACTAACTTTCGGACATCATTGCTCGTTTTCCTTGATGTGGCGGTGGCTCTCCGATCTTACATTTACATCCAAATTTCTCCACTAGCCCTGCCCACTTCACTTGTGACCCTTGGGCAACACCCATTTCAAACCTTTATAACATCCTGACTCAGCAGATCTCTCTTTATTTTTTTCACCTGATGACGAATGCTTGTGTTTCGATCTGAACGTCGTGATATTTTTTATTATGTTTTCTATTTACGTGGCTTTACCGAAAGACCCAAAGAATATGAATTCCTGCAGTCACAAAAGCTTTAAGTCAAGATTTAACCACCTTTACGGGGAGGGTTTCCACTCAACTATTAGATCTTTTAACAAACTTTGAGACAAGAAGGCTCATCTGATTGAGTCGCTCACTTTTCTGAAGAGATGCAGCGACATTAAGCGAAAACTGATCGCCTTTACACTGACAGCTGTTGCTGCCACTTCTCCTAATGCTAAACGGATCTTGTTCAGTTCCGGCCTAACCCTGATTTCAGAGTGAATAAGATTTCTCCGATTTGAACTAGACAATTTAGACAAGACTCTCTTGCAATCGCACTTTACAATGACAGAAAAAATGTCTACATCTGATTGGGAACATGTAGTTAACATGACTGCCTCGTCAGCCGCCTCAATGTCAGCTAAATGCAAAGATAATCGGATTGCCAAGTTCAACCTCCTGTCCAAAAATAAGCCAGATTCACACGTTAAAAAGTTATACGATGACAAGATTGTTATCAATCAGAGTAACAGCCCAATTTCCGACAGCCAAAAATCGGTTCTAGCTAAAGGGTTGAATTTTGCAATCACCCCTAAACACATCCCAGTTGATGATATCATTGCCCAGGTCGACGTAGCTCTAAATGGTTTGGGACACATTCCTGCAGACGTGGTAAGATCGAAAATCGCTGTAATCCTCAAAAATGCTAAGACAACTATTAGCAACATCAGTAAGGATGAGCACTTTGAGCTGTCTCAACTAAAAAATAGAGATGACAGTCATCCTCTCAGCCAATAAGGGCAATGCTACGGTCATCATGGACAAAACCACATAGAACAACAAAATTCAGGACCTATTTGATGATGGGAGCTATACCAAAATCATTAGAGATCCCACCAACCGCCTGGTTACGAAAAGCGGCCATTAGGGTGCCTTCAACTTGTTCGTAGAATGTTCCATTCCAGGTGAAGTAAGTGTTGGTGAGGCAGTGACTAACCAGGGCTGGCACATCAGCATTCAGTCCTTGTTGGATCAAATCTTCAATGATTGCAATGGTGTCAGGAACAGGAACTTTGGTAAACAAATATACTACATTGAAACTCATATTCTATGGTTCTTTCGGTAAAGTCAGGTAGATAGAAACAACAATAACAATAAAATAATAAAAATGAAAATAAAGTGACTAAAAAAATTAACAAAAATATCACGACTGATGTTTAGTTGTTATTTTCGATTCTCTGGTGTTACATTAACAGGTTATATATCTTTACATTAACAGGTTAAATATCTAACTGACACAGCCACTGTTGCTTGTTTACCTTCATGTGGCGGTGACTCTGCAATCTTACATTGACATGCTATCTCTCACAATGCAATGGCCATATCCGCAGCTTCGTCGTCGTGGAGGTAGCTCAGCACTCCGATCTTACATTTACATGCAAATTTCATCACTAGCCCCGCCCACTTTGCTTATACACAATATAATGGCCAGGTCTGC